GTAGAGAGAGCTTTACTCTGCCTCTAACCCTATGCTGTCCCTGTCCTGGGAGTGTTTGATGGGGTTAACGCAGGACTTTACTCTGTGTCTAACCCCATGCTATACTTGTCCTGAGGGTTGCCTATATCTCGAGCTCTGGAATTCCACTCCCTAAACCTCTCATTCCTCTGTTAAGCGTCTCAATGAATCTCCGTCTATGATCAAGCCGGGTCATCTGACTTAATATCTCGTTATGTGGCTCGGTGCCATGTTGTGTTTTATAAAGCTCCAGTTTATTATAGGCGCTATATAAATGTAAGGTCTTTTTGTTGCATGCTCCAAATCCATGGAACTACTGCGACCAGCTTTTCTCTTCAGGATGATGGGCATGGAGGCAGCACTCGGTCAGAACATCAGTCGGTCAATCGTAAGAAGCATAACCACCTGGTGACCTAATGAAAACAATTTACACTGAAAAGCCTTAAGGGGTTGCACAGGGTAGACACTCAGAAAATGGTTCCCTTGGCAAGGAAATCAAGAACGGGGTGGGGGGGTGTCACATTTTCATGATAAAGGATTGGATATTTAGAAGGGTATCAAGATACATAGGAACAGCACATCGACAAGTTTCCCTCCAAACCGGTCACTATCCTGACTTGGAAATATATTGCTGTTCCTTCAGTGTCACGGGGGAGAATCGTGGAATTTCTTCCCCGACAGTACTCTGACTCTAACGACAACACATAACTGCAGCGGTTCAAGAAGGCAGCTCGCCACCATCTTCTCAAAGGGCAATGAGGGATGGGCAATAAATGCTGATCCAGCCAGCAATTCCTACATCCGGCAAACAAATAAAAAAACAGAAAGATGAAGGAAATGTCTATTCTCGAAGCAGTGTAAATCTTTCACGTTCGTTGGCTATGGATGCTTAGATACATTTAGGATTGAAGTTGATAAGATTTTTGGATACTACAGGATATGCGGATAGCTCGGGAATGCAAAGTTGAGGTAAAAGATCAGCTGTGATCTTACAGGTTTG